AAAACCAGTTCAAATGATATATCAGTTTGTAATTTATTGTAACGGAGATTTTTAAAAGGGATCAAAACGTTAAAAAAAAAATTTAAAGAACTAATTTGATATTTTAAAATAATTTTAATGACTAAAATAGTAGTTTTGCCATGAATATATTACCATTCACTGTTAGAAATTCTTTGTTTTTCTGCGGATTTACCTACGATTCTGAAAATATTTCCGTAAGATACGTGTTACCTGCGATTCTTCCTGCTTCTTTCTGTTCCCAACTAAAACCTTTGTGGATAATTAACTTAACAGGTAATGTCGCAGGTATAAGTCGCAGGTAAACAGCTAAATTCGCAGAATATACCGCAGGTAATTGAAATTTCGCAGGAAACGTCACAGCAAACAGAATGTCCACAAGTAAGTTCACAGATAACTTTTCTCTCAGTTTTTTAAGTTTTATTATTAATTGTGTTTAGTTCATATTTAAAATATTATAATTAATGTTAAATATCAAAGTAACAATAATATAAAAGTAAAAATCTAATTTGAATAATCCAATACAACACTAATCACATTCAAATTTTTAAAACAACCATACATTACTATAAAGTCAACAACAAATACTTCTAAAAGTTACATTACTAAAAATGACACAATCAAGTTACTAATAATCATTTGTCCAACCAAATTAATACGAAAAAACAATGCAAATTTCAAACTAGTTAACAAGAAAAAACAATCCAAATTAAAATTCACTACTAATGTGTTCACTAATGTCTTCATCTGATTCATCAACATCATCTTCACTTGGATTATCAGTTTCATTATTGGCTTGAGGTGGATGAGTATAAGATGCAGCAAATCTAAATGATTCATTAACAATGAAAGTTTATTGTCCGTCGGGGAGAATGATGTCGTCGATGTCAAACGCAATATCAAATGAAGGCCTGCATATAAATACCAGCTTCAATTCAATTAATAAGAAATAATATAAATTCATTAACATGTAACTATAATCGTTTTCTTATGAATAGATATCAACGACACCAACTCATTAGGTTTTCAAGAGGAAAGAAATACTCACCATAGTGAAAACACAATCAGCTACACACAATTCAGAGTATCATCTATCATAACATAACATCAATAATACACAATTACACATAACCTATGTTATTCACAAATATTTTCAATAACCACAGCAACCGATTCTTGTCTGGTTCAGATGATGGAAGCATTGAGCTTTGGGGTGCAGTACGAAATAAGCCAATTCACATTTTGAGGAATGCTCACGCTTTACTGACAGATAGCAAGAAATCTGACCTGAAAGACAATTAAAAACTTCCAAACGGTAACCTAGGTAATCCTTTAAATACCGTGTTTATACAAACCTTTCAAACTCGAGAATCATCATTGTTCGACAGTACACTCTTGAGTCAGCGCAGTTACTGTTTGTAGGAACAGTGACCTTGCTACATCTGGTGCTGGTAATGGTTTTGTTAGATTATGGGCAATTGAAAATAAGACCAAAGACATTAAATCTCTTAATAATGTACCATTGGTAACTAATCATCTGACTCTTAAAATACGAATGTTGAGATAATGATAAGTATATTTCTAACTAACCTACTGACATATCTAACTAAAGCTACTATGTTTATTAAACTAAAGCTAAATATGTATCTAACCAAAGCTAATGTAAACAGTTGCTGTATATATATTTTTCAATTAAGACTAACATGTTATAATAGAAAAGCTAATGTACTAATGCTATTATATTCTAAACTTATGGATATATCCTAAGCAAAATAAACCATATTATATTCTAAATTAAATGGCTTTATAAAGTTGCATTATCATGAATATCTCAAAACATTGCAATATCAAATGCCATAAAAAGATTGAATTCATGATCAGAATCAGCTAAAACTCTGTCCCATCTCAAATGTACTAATGCTATTCACATTTTGAGGAATTCTACTAAAATAAACCATATTACCTTCCATGAACTTCATTGATGTCTTTTTTAGTAGAATTTGGCCATATATCTAGTTCAATTTCTCGGACGCCTAGTTACAACGCCTTTATGATTGGCACATCACTGCAATAGCTACTCAGCTGATTTCCAGTAACATAGGAATTGTGTCCTGTGTATATGAAATTTGCTATGTATTCTGAAAGAGACAGAACCTGGTCACATAGTTCTCTAATATTTGACAAATCTAGTTTACCATTTTCAGTTCCCATAAATATCACAGCTGCTTCTTTCACTTCTGCTCAACTTCCTTTGTCAAAATCTGTAATGTGTTTCAGGATAAAGAAAAATATTAAAATATCAAAGTATGTGAAACTAGATATTATTAGTTTAAATAAGTGTCACAAGTTCAAGATACTGTATTATCAGTTATGTTGGCAATACCGCTTAATTACTTCTAGTCAAACCAAGGTTTGAAGTCAAATGTAATTCTACTTCGAAACCACCAAACACGTCAATGGATCAAACTCAAGTTTGTGACTCTAAACTTATTTTTGCCTATCACATTTCGATAGAAACAAAGCTTTTAAAGGGAGGTAACAAATCCAGTACTCTGTATCCACATAACTAGTCATAATCTCATTCATCAAAAGCTTATAAATAAACAAAACCTTTAGCAGTGTATACTCTCAAATCACAATCTAACCGAAAAATATTACCACAACGGAGGAGATGAAGTAACTTCTTTGGTAGTTCCTATTTTGTTCAAACTTTACAAATGCTCAACCTTTAAACTTGTATTTCAATTATACTCTAGATTTAAAAATTCAATATTGTAAACTTGTAATTCATTAATATGGAATTATAATTTTATTAAAGACGATAACTTTCATTAATAAATCAATCTAACTCCTCATTAATAAATGCATCTAACAGTTTCTGCTTTATGTTAGAAAACATATCATTCATAAAACCAAAAAAAAGTAAAATCAACATACTGTGACATTTCAACAAACACCTTGTTTACAAAAATCACCTAAGTTTATAATTAATCTAACGTAAAATCAGTAAAATCACATAAGCTTGATAATAGATATAGAAATAAAAAAAGTCTTGTCAGCACGTTTGTCTTATGTAGTTCATCACTTTTCATAAGCTCAAAACTTGAAAGTGTAACTGAATAAGATATTATGTACCTTTCGGGGTGAAAAGAGTTGTCGGAAGGTTCTTCATCCAGAAAGGGTATCTTCAACAGAGGTGCAATCTTTTTTCCACATTTGTGAAGGAAGCGCAGATTTAAGGTAATCCTGTGACATAGGGAACAAAATTGTTGAAAGGGTTAACGACGAGTGAGAACTGAGAAAGAGAGAGGGAGAGGAACTGTACCATGGGAAATTAGAGTCCGCAAAATTTGACGCTTTTTTCCTTTTTTGTTTTGAATTGAGAAAACACTTTCTTTTAACCGATTTTTCAGGTATATTTTAATTAGGGTAATGTTAACTTGTGCTCTTGGGGCATATGTTAAGAACTAAATTAAAAAATATTATTTTGAAAATTGTGTATAAACTTTAATTAAAGTATAAAAAAAATATTATTTTGAAAATTGTGTATAAACTTTAATTAAAATATAAAATTAATTTTTACATCGTGTTTTCCAATACAAATTTACTATAATTGGTTTTCTTAACCTGTGTCCCAAGAACACAACTTAACATTATCCAAAGAAAAAACTAATTTTCTTTCCCCCATTAACCAAATACAGACTTACTGTTTTAGCCTTAAAAAATAGATTTTTTTTTGTATTTTTAAAAATGAATTTTACAAAAATGTTATTTAAAATATTTTAAATTTTTTTAAATTTTTTTTTTATAAATTAAAAGATAAATTTTGACATACTATAACAAAAACGTATATTATTGAAGATCAAAACATAATTAAAATCACAATTTTTTCAAAACGTTGTATTTTAAAAATGATTTTTATGAAAAGTTCTTTAAAATAGCTTCAAAATTAAATAATTTTTTAAAATTTTGATATTCAAAAAAAATTTCGATAAAATGATAAAATACATAAAATAATATTTTAAGAATAACTATTCAAATCAAATTTTCATTGTAAATTTGTTTTACACTAAAATATATTTCATCCGCTCTTTTTTAAGTAACTTTTTGAATAGTTTTTTGTTTCTTTTTAATTATCACTTGCAAAGTTTAGGATAATATTAAATAAATTTTTGTTAAAATTACTCCTAAATAATTATTATCAAAAAATAAAAAAGTAAAATAAATGTGATAAATAATTAGAGGTATTATAGATTAAAAAAATTATTATATAAAAAATAATAATATTAATTAGTTTTTTTAATATTGATAAAAAAAATTAAAAAAAAATACTTAAAAAAAACTGAAGGAGTATTACACTGTAAAAATGTTTTTTAAAAAAAACTGCCCAAACTAAACACATCAGAGTATGTAATAGATTGGTCTATCATTAGACTAAAATTAAGAGAATATGGGATATGTTAAGTAGTAAATGAATTATTCATTCTTGTGTGCTATGACTATGACTATGAGCAGCCTATAGCCCTATCTATACTGTCATGTCCATAGCAAGCTTAGCCATCTATCTACCCCCAATGCAATCTGCATGGTACTAGTACCATAACAATATTGCTAATGCTCCTCTCATTCTCACAACCATTAGTAACAAAACAAATTGCTACAACTTTGTTCAGAATTACTAATTACTCCAACGGATTCTCCCTCCTTTTCACTGCAACAATTTAAGTTGGCAAAATAAAAACATTAACCCATTAATAGTAGAACAAATAAATAGATATACTTTAAATTAATTATGAGTAAAAGAATAAGCTTTGCTTTCACCATACATACTTGCCCTAAATAAACAATTCTTCACTCTTCCACTACCATCACTATCATTTTCATTTACATAAATTCAAAACCCTTTTCCTAATTAGAGTAAACACAGATAAAGAGTATTTCTTTACTAGTTAAAAAAGACCAACAAATTAAAAAAAACATCTTCACCCATCTAAGATTAAAAACCACCCCACAGAAACCAAAACCAACAACATAAGAGAATCAAAATGCAGCAAAGAATCCCCATTAAAAAGTACATCATCATGATCAAGAATATCTGTTATTTTGTAGGGATTAAGTTGACCCAAACTTTCACCATTTTGAGAAGAACAGCTTGCATTGTTTCCCAAACACAGCCCTATGTTTCCTGCCAACTTTAACTTCTGTTCAACTCTACTTGGCAAAGAGATTCTACCACTCAAATTGTTGTTCTCCAAGTTTATCTCATTAGCAAACTCCAAAAGCCCAAATTCTTCAGGAACAGACCCATCAAGTTGGTTGTTATCAAGTCCAAGATAAGACAAATTTTTCAAGTAAATCCCCATTGAAACTGGGATTTTACCTAACAAACCCATTTTAGAAAATCCTATTTTTTCAACACCGCCAAGCTTTTCCCATATTTCTGGAATTTTACCAGAGAGTAAATTTCCACTTAAATAAACTTCCTTTAAACTAGTTGTTTCTCCTAAGAACAAAGGGACCCCGAAATTACCAAAAAGGTTGAAACTTAGATCCAAAAACTTCATGTTTTGCAAGTGGATAAAACTCTCTGGGATCTTACAACCAAACCCGTTGTAGCTTAAATCAAGCTTCAAAAGCGAGGTGAGATTCCCAAGTTGTTCGGGAACACAACCTGTGAACCCGTTCTGACTAAGGTCGAGAATCTTGAGTTTCTTCAGCATTCCCAAACTCGGTGGAATCATGCCGGAGAGATTGTTTCTAGAAAGAGTTAGCTCTTCCAGGTTTGTATAATCGCCGATGTTGAAGGGAAATTCGCCGTGGAAGGCGTTTCCGATCAAGACGAGTCTCCTAAGAGAGGTGAGGTTGCGGAGAAAAGGTTCAATCGGAGAAACAATGGAAGGGTTTTGGATGAAGACTAGTTCTTGGAGAGATGGAGGGAGAGAAGGAAGAGATGTTAAGTGAAGTGGGTTACGTGTGTTGTTGAAGCATTTGTAGAAGAAGAGTTTCTGAAGATAGGGGAAAGAGGTGAAGAGAAGAGGGTTGAGAGTGGCGTTAGGGGAGCAAGGCGGGTTAGGTGTTTCATCGGAAACGTAACCGAAGTTGAGTTCAACAATGTGCGCTTTTTGTTGTTGGTTAGAAGGGTTGTAGTCGCAAACGACGCCGTGTGGGGCGGAGAGACAGAGATCGTCGGGGTAGTCAGTGGTCCATGGAATGGTTGGGTTGAGGGAGTTGAGAACAGCATAGAGAGCTTTCTGTTCAAGTGGGTCAATGGGAGGTTGATCTTGAGAGAATGAAAAAGAGATAAAGAAGAAGAAAAAGAATGCGTATAAGAGCGTTTGCGAGAAAGTTGAAAAGAGAAGCATTGTAATGAATGTAGAAGAAAAGAAAAAGGAATATAAGTTGAGGAGTGTGTGATGGTATTAATACTATGTTGAGTCATTTGAGATGGGACAGAGTTTGTTGAGGAATGTGTTATCTTGGTGCTGTTTTGTTATAATTGAAATGACAGAAGTGACCTTGGGTTGTAGTAGTAAATGAGGGAAAAGAAAAGGAAAGTGGTTGAAGGTGAAAAGATGGTGCAGAAGAAAAGGACAGGATAGGATGATTATTGTAGTGAGTGGGAAGGACAGAAAACTGCAAAGGAAGGAAACAGATATGCGCCGCATTCGCCGATAAACAGTGTCGCCTACAATACTGGCTAGAGAGCGACATGTAACAAAACTAACTACATCACGTGATGGATCGACTCTCTCTCTCTCTCTCTCTCATCAATCAAACAACTATCTGCTCTCTTTCTACTTCTAGACACACTGTGTTTTACCTTTATTTGTTTTTCTTCTTTCACACTCCATATTCTCTCTTGGAGTGTAAATTTTTATTCTTTTATGCCAATTCATCTTTAGCATTTTAATGTGTTATAGTAATCCCTTTTTAAAGTTGTAAGGTTTTGTCGGTTTTTCTAAATTTTAATGTTAATGTAAACTAGACGTCTGCCCGTTTTATTAAATTATTATCGATAAATATTAATTTAAAAAATATATAATATATTTGTATTAATATTTTATTGAATTAATTTTTTATTTAAATAGTTAATAGTAATTTAATACTTTATATTTTATAAAAAATAATAATATATTTTTAACATAATAAAAAAAATATTAAAATTTAAAAAAAATCTTCTCTCAATATAAAATAAGTCGTAATTTATTAATAAATTTTTAATCTATACTAATATATATAAAGGTAAAATAGATTTGATATAGCCTTTTTTATTTCCAAATATATCATTTTTTATTTTAAATTATAATTTTTTTTAACAAATGACAGTTATACGACGGTTCATCATCTTTCATATCATTATTTTTTTACTATTTTATAAATAATTTAAAATAAAAATAAAAATTAATAATACAATTTATATTTTACGTTCGTAGATATTGAAAAAAAGGGATAGACGGACACATCCCATCTGAACGCTAATATATTATGAAAAGAATGATACACTACACGTCCTCAACTACTTAATTAAATAAAAGATCTTTAAATAATTCTTTTTAAAATGCCAACCTCCATTCTCCGTGCTTTCGATTACTTAACTAAATAAAAAATTTAAAAAAAAACCTTAGTGTGATAGTTTTAAAAATAAATAAATAAATAAATAAATAAATATATATATATATATATATATATATATATATATATATATATATATATATATATATATATATATATATATATATATATATATATATATATATATATATATATATATAATTTCCAGTGTTTTCAATTATTATTATTATTATTATTATTATTATTATTATTATTATTTTTATTAAATATTTAAAATGTTTTTATATAATTATTTATTTTAATTTTGAGAATTTGATCTGAAAAAATTTTCCTTACAAATACTATTAATATTTATTATAAATTAACCATATAATATTTATTTTATATTAAATTATTATTATTATTATTATTATTTTGAGAGTTTGATCTATTGATGAAAAAATTATTAAATACTATTTAAAATACTTTTATTGTTAGAATAACTTCTCCATCATTTCATTATAATATATCCCTATATTAATGTTATTGGAAAGTATATTATGGTTAAAAATTAATATTTAATTTGATTTATTGTTTTCAAATTTAACATTATAAACGGTCATAAAGACTTGAATAGTATAGTTTATGAAAACTAAGATATAATGGTGATCAAATCAACAAATTATTCAACTTTTAATTGACAAATGATTCAGCGCGACATAAAATAATTTACAACCTTACAATTTATAAAAACAAATAAAAGTACAGTAAAATGTACTAAAAACATAAAAACAATAAGAATAACAATGTTGAAACTCTTATCTTGCATAATGTTAATTTTAATACTATAATCTTTTGAATATGAGAGAGAAACAATTACCTTAATAGGAAGTGCAAGTAACCTCTAAATAAAAAGAAAAGAATAATAAAATATATCAAAAAATGATAAACTATAGTTTATGAATAAAGAAAAAGGAGAAAAAAAGAATGATTGTAATACAAACTATATAGGTTGTGAAGATTGGTTAGAAAGAGTGATAGTGGAGATTGATTTGAGAGAATGGAGAGTGGTTATTAAAATCATAGAGTGGAGAAGTTATAATATTTTTATTTAATTAATTAATTAGAAGTATGTGTCATATTTAATTTTTTAGAATTAAATTAGAAACGTGTTTCATATTTAATTTTTTGAAACTTAATTAATTAATTACTAATAACTATTTATTATAATTAACTAATTAATATTATTATTTAGATTTATTAATATAAATTTGTGTGGGAATTATTTAATATTAGTGGTGGAGGTGTTTTGTATAATTATAATTTTAATTAATTATTTAATATTATTATTATTATTATTATTTATCATAAATCATAAATTTGTAGAAATTAAAATCTCAATATTAACTTTAAAATTTTTGGAGGGAAAATTGATGGAAGAAGTTATAGGATTATAATTTAGCATGATATTGTCAAATTTTACAAACGTGGATTAAAAAATAGATTATGGTTCTTTTAATTTTGTTTTTGTTTTCAGTACTAATATCTGATTAACTCGGTCGATTAATTCAGTATAAAAATTAATTCTGAAATCAAGTAATTTCAACATTTTTCTAATCATAATTGCGGAAGATTAAACCGTGATTTTCACTATTCAGTTCAACGTCAATCACTACTAAACTAATTAACAATTGAAAAGATAACGATTATTATTTTTTTACTTTGTAGTAGAACTTATTAATAGAATATATTTATTATTAAAATGGGTTATAAATTAAATATGTGTTGTTGGCAAGCAAACAATATGAAAAAACAAAAATTAGAAAAGAAAAAAAATCTATTAATTCACTTATAATACAAAATGAGTTCAAGGATGTAAATATGCCCATTGAAAAAGTTTGTTAGAGAAAAATGATATAACTAATCGGTATCAAACTCTAACTAACTAAATATTTGGTCGCAATTAAAGTACTAGAACAAAAAATAATATAAAAAAATCATATTGTAAGAATCTCTTTCAAACTCAAATTTATATCAATCATTCTCGATTGAACTAAAGAATAGAAAGATCCAAAATGTAGAGTCTTGTGAACAGGTCAGCAACTTAGTTATCTGAATTGAATGACATCAAATAGATAATTGTAGCATGTAACTTGCCTTAGACTAGATGGCAATTCAATTTAGTGTGTTTCGTTGTGTTGCACCCCAAAATTTGCCCTCACAATACAAGACTTTGTGCTTCTTGAAGGTTCACAAGGTTCACAAACTTCTCAACATCTACAAGACCTTTCATGAGGTTCATGAAGTCCATAGGTTGCTTCTTGAAGGTTCACAAGGTTCACAAGATTCACAATGTTTACAAAGCTTTCCTAAGGGTCATGAGGTCTACAAAGCCACTTCATGATGTTCACAAGGTTCACAAAGTTCACAATTGGTCAGAAGAGTTGACAATTCCCTCAGACAATGCACCTCCTAAGCAGTGCATCCGAAACTAGGGTTTTGACTTTAATCAGGCTAAATGGACTTCCAAGACTTCAAGTGAGCTTCATAACATCTTATATGTGTATAAGAACCCCCATGTCAAGTTTCAAGACTTTTCTCAAAAGTTTGCTCAGTCAGATGATCAGATAAGTCAAAAGCAGTCAATGCAGTTAAAAAGTCAAACTGAGGTCAACTGTGGTCAAACCAAAGTCAAACTTCATGATTTTTTGCCAACATCAAGTATATGAAGTAAAATTCATCATTTGATCAAGGGTTGATCATGATTCATCAAGGAGATTCCAGATCATCAATAATCAGGAGTTTCTAAATTAGGGTTTCCTTAGTAAAAGTCAACTGAACTTTGACCAGGCATAACTTTCACATACTTCATCACCAAGTCTCCATCCAAAGCTCATTTTGAAGGAAATTGAATTCTCTACAACTTTGATGTTGAAGGTTAAGCCCAAAAATGCTTTATTTGAAAGATATGATCTAAGACATTATGGGTCATTTCAAAAGTCAACAAAAAGTCAACAACTTCAAAAGGGCATAACTTGAGATTGGTAAATGATATGGACCTGAAACCAATGGGGTTGTTTAGAGGACTCTTCAAGCTTTCCAAAAAGTCCAAGAACACCATCATACCTTTAAAATTGAGAGAAATGTGCCCTTGCAAAGTTGGGCAATTTTGTGATGGTTTATGTTGAAAATGGAGGCTTAGAAGTATTTCTTTCCAAATGGGCTGCCTAATTTATGACCCAATCCATCTCATAACATGGTGCACGACCCAATTGACCAAAATTCATCATTTTTATTATTATTTATTTATTTATTATTGATTTAATTCATAAAAATCATTTTAAATAAATAAAAGATATAAAAATCTATTTTTGGGTGAAGATTTTGTTTCTAGAAATTCATAATCATTGATTGAATTAGAATGAGAAGGAAATCATGTGATCTCTCCCAAATTATTATTTTTTATTTATTTATTATTGATTTAATTCATAAAAATCATTTTAAATAAATAAAAAATATAAAAATCTATTTTTGGGTGAAGATTTTGTTTCTAGAAATTCATAATCATTGATTGAATTAGAATGAGAAGGAAATCATGTGATCTCTCCCAAATTATTATTTTTTATTTATTTATTATTGATTTAATTCATAAAAATCATTTTAAATAAATAAAAAATATAAAAATCTATTTTTGGGTGAAGATTTTGTTTCTAGAAATTCATAATCATTGATTGAATTAGAATGAGAAGGAAATCATGTGATCTCTCCCAAATTATTATTTTTTATTTATTTATTATTGATTTAATTCATA